TCTCACCAGAAACTCACTACAACCGTGTAAGGCAGGTTAACATCTCCATTTTCTCATCTGTAAAAGGGTAGGGGAAAGGCCAGAAGAAAACGAGAAATTCTACGAACCAGATCCTATACTAAGTGTTTTATAAATATTATTTCATTTGATCTTCACAACTCTGGGAGGAAGGTGCTATTATTATCCCCATTTTATAGCTGGAAAAAATGAGGCAGGCAGAGGTTAAGTGACTTGCTTAGGGTCACACAGCTAGTGTCAGAGGCTGGCTTGAACTCAGGTTTTCCTGATGTGAGAACCAGTATTCTAACCATTCTGCCATCTTTCACTATCTACCTCCCAGGGTGGTCATGAGGAAACCTTAAAGTGTGAGCTCATTATAACAAGCCCTCAGTCACATAGCCAGTTAGTGTTGGAAGTTCGATTCAAACCTGTGTCTTTTCTGGATTCAGATCCATCCCTCCTTTCACTAAAATTAAAAAAAACAAACCTTGTCTCAAAGAGCTCAAAAATGTCCAATGGCTGAATCTTTTTAGAAAGTAATTGGTTACTGGCATTGTGACCAATTGCTTATGAGGGATGTTAGGTGCATGGATTTAGTTGGAAGGGACCTTAGGGGCTATCTAATCCAACCTCATCATTTGACAAATGAGTAAACTGAGGCCAGGATAGGTTTATGAGCTTCAAGGCCATCTACTCCACCCTCCTCATTTGATGAATGAGGAAAGTGAGACTCAGACAACTTTAACTGACTTGCCCTAGGCCACAGAGGTAAGTGGGAGAGTCATGGCATATAGCCGATATGACGTCCAAACCTTCCTCACTCAAACTGTTAAACCAGGCAAAGACAAGTTGTTGTTTCTCAGCCGAGCCATCTTTTCAACAATTCTACATATATCTAATGCTCACATTGATGGAAGAGGAGCATAGATAATCCAAAATATGACATTATCCCTCCAACTCAATACAGTCTATGATTTTCAAGTGGTAGTTTCCTTTCCTAATCAATTAATTAAGGCTAATAGGTCAATTTGCCTTCCTTGGCCATGCTAAGCAGTTAAGGTGGACAACCTAGGAAAGAGTTGAGTGACGCTAGCCCAGGATTAACGAGGTCAGCGAAAGGACTGGGTGGATTAGAATCACGCTTGGCAAAGATGGCTTATCTTCCTAAAGTTCACCGTAGAATGAAAGTCCACTGTGGGAGAGAGACGGAAGGGACAAGGGCTTATTTGAAATGGTTGGTATTGCCCAAGCACACATCTGTCATCATGGCTTTTATCTGAAACAGACAAGCCAGAATGGACTAATAGCAGGCACATCTTCAAGGGACAAACGTCAGAACACTGACCAGAAATAATTTACAAGACACGTGATCCTTAAGGCAAATGACCAACTTACCACAGGATATGGTTCACAATAGGAGGGATAGGGTAGGCAGGACAGAAAAAACTCATTTCATGCCCAAAATGAGGGCTTCAAAGACATTATAGGAATTTTCTAAACAAAGACCAGTTCCCTAAAATAACATTGGTTTTTATAGCATCTCAGAGCTGGGTCATCCAGTTCAACCCTTCCAACCTGACCCTGATTACCTCCACCGATGAAGGTCTTTTCACTAACTCCCGAGGAAGCCCCCTTGGAACACTATAATTGTTAGGAATTTTTGTTTTTCCCTACCATCAGGCCTATATCTCCTTTTCCAACTTTCACACATTGCTCCCAGTTTTGTGTTCTGGAACCAAGTAGAACTAATCTAATCCCACTTTTGCTTGATGACCCTCCAAATACTCTGAAGGTAGCTTTCACATTTCCTCTGACATCTATCCAAATAAATCTCCTCAGTTCTCTCAGGCACTCCTCACAGGGTATGACCTTGAGGGCCTTCACTCTCCTGGTAGCCTTCCTTCGGATGATTTTTAGCTTGTCAATGTCTAAAATATGGTGCCAGGGACCAAACACAAAACTGAACAGATGTGACCTGACATGAGCAGAGTACAATGGGACTATCATTGTACTCTTGTCCTGGGTATTATCCCTCTTCGTCCCAAATTCATCTTAAAATCATTTTGGGGGTGTGGGGGGTTAAGGAGGTGATTTGTCATATCACTGTTTCCCACATAACACAATGTACCATAGTAAGATATTAGCATGAGCCTTTTCATACTGTTTAGACTAATGTATCATCGTGTATAGATGAGCTTGAGAACCAGAAATAGAAAGCTTCAATGACCAGACTGGGTCCAGGGGAGGTTATTTAAGACAAAACAGCAAAAGGTGACTGAGAAGACTCTTTCCCTAATCTTATTCTGAACTGAGATTGGGCTAGTGATATGCAGGGACCTTTTCACAACATCAGGTTTTTTGTGTTTGTTTTTTTTCTATAGGCAGTGTCTTATTGAAATTCACCTTTCCACCTGGACCAGTGTTACCTGGTCCAAGTTGGCTGGGCACTGAATCTGTAGTCAGAGAACCTGGGTTTTAAAACCTGCTTCTGCCCCTCAGTACCAGTGTGACCTTGGGCAAATCACCTTAACCCCTCTACGCTTCAACTTCCTCATCAACTGGAAAAAAGGGATTAGATGACCTCACATCCCTTCCAGCTCATAATCTACAATCTTGAAGTCTCTTAAAAATCATTACGCTGTGGACTAGTAAATTATTCAACATCTTCACCTTGGGTAGCGTCCTCTGCAGTCTCAGAGAGGTATTTGTTTTTCAGTCTTGTCTAACTCTTCATGACCCCATTTGGAGTTTTTTTTGGCAAAAATCCTGGAGTGGTTTGCCATTTCTTTTCTAGCTCATATTAGAGAAGAGGAAACTGAGGCAAACAGGGTTAAGTGACTTGCCCAGGATCAGTTAGCTAGTAAGTGTCTTGAGGTCACATTTGAATTCAAGTCTTCCTGACTCCAGGCCCAGAGCACTGCACCACTGCCCTCAGAGAGGTGGGCCTGGGAAAATAGTTTCAGGGGAGCTGGGTCAGTGTCCTTAAATTCATAGGTTTTAAGAAGTAAGGCCCTTTGGGGCTAAAGACTTTGTAAATCAACAAAAATTTGCCATGGCCCAGTGCCAGTCTATGGGCCATTGTTAGAAAATATTCATTTATACCAAGTCACCTGCTTTTGTTCAACAAAAAGCCTTGGTTTAATGTTTTACAGAGTGAAAGACAGTTTCTTCTCAAAGCTTAAATACATTAGACACTGTAGCTGGTAGGGCCTAGTGTCTTCAGTGGGGCATCCAGGCGATACTGACACATCAGAGAAATAAGGATGTAAATGCTTACAACTGATTTTTTTTTAACATCATGGATCCTTCTAACTGGTAAAAGTTGTGGACTTCTCAGAATGTTGTTTTTGGTTTTTTTAATTTGTAATTGAAATAAATGCTAATTTTTTTTTTTTGGTGAGGCAATTGGGGTTAAGTGACTTGACCAGAGTCACATAGCTACTGAGTGTTATGTATCTGAGGCTGGATTTGAACTCAGGTCCTCCTGACTCCAGGGCCAGTTCTTTGTCCACTGTACCACATAGCTGCCCCAGTAAATGCTAAATTTCAGTTAAAGATTTAACTTCCTGAGTTCATGGATTCCCTGAAGTCAACATGCAAAAGGGTCTGTTACCCTCCTTCCACCCATGAGGGACCTTTGCTCTAAAACAATCCCATGCTTACTCCTCTCCTAAACCCTAAATAGTGGATCTTGCCAATACCAAGACACTGGAAGGAATTCAGAGCACTGGGCATAGAAAATGCACTGAGCACCCGTAGTCCTCTAGGGGTTAAGTTATTCCAGTCCCCACATTGCAGGCCTGTCAAGTCACTGTTTCAACAAGACTTAACCTTGATGTGAACTGCTGGTTCTGGAGATAACATCAATCAGAAGGCACTGGCCAGCAAAGGACCAGCAGGAGACAGCCTGTGGGGCTGCTGATGGCTTCAGGCACTGAAGGAAGCAGCCAGCTAATCAAAGTTCCATCCCCTCCTGAGCACATTCATTGGAACCCCTCTGGTTCTAGGCCCTTCCCTTCCCGAGCACAACATACAAATATCACGTTCTCCCTGGAGCAATTCTTTCCATCTTGCTAACTTGGTCCTCAAAGAGATGGAACACAAAGGGGAAGAAGATGATTTGGGGTGGAGTCAGCTAAAAAATAACATCTCGTGCATTTCTGGCCTATTCTCTCCAATGCTCTGGGTTTCCTCCAGTGTCTTGGTTTGAGTAACATCCACTATTTAGAGTTTAGGAAAGAGGAGGAGGTCAGGAATTGTTTTAGGGCAGTTCTTAACCTGGCGGAGAGTGTAAGGGGTGGGGAGAGAGAGGTGAGGTGCTGCAAGACCGCTTTGTATATTGAGTCCATGAACTTGGGAAATGGACAACCATCAGGAGACAGAATCCTATAGGCATACATAGCTCATGTAAATTTGACCCCAGTCTATGTCCTCAATATCATTTATACCCTCTAAGCCAGATGCCCAGGCAGTGCCTTGAAGTGCCTTGTTAATAGGATTAGGCTTATTTGGCCCTGCTCCCCTGGTCCCTACACATAGGCACACCCTACACATAGGAAGCTCCAGCTTCAGTCCTCTGTGCACTGATCCCATGGTATTAACTGCCTCTGTTAATATCGCTTCACTTAAAGATGTATTTTCAGGAAACCCATCGGTAATGTTGGACAGGGGGAATATATGACTGTGTAGAGGAAGGGATGCTTGCAGGAGATCTGAGCTCTATCTTGCCACTCCAGCCCCTCCCAGACAGTCATTTACTAGATATATGACCTTGGATAAGTCAATTCTGTGGCCCTCAGTTCCATCTAAAATGGTAGTGATACCAAGGGTGATCTCTCCCTGCCCCAATCCACCCCTCATCCCTGCAAGGCAGGAAACTTGATCCTTGGAGAGTGGCCTTCTAAATCTAGATTGATTTGCCTCACATGTCAAGATGAATTAAGCCAGGCCTTTTATTAAAAGGATGAGGGGATTAATGTCAGAATAGATGAGGCCAACACTCTCAGAATATTTGAAAACTTTATTTTCTCAAATGAGCACCAACACAGATCGGAAATGAGAGAAAACAATGCACTTTCTTCTAATACTGAATCACTATGTACAGATACAGGAAAAAAAGGTGAAGACAAATTATTGAAAAACAATTGCCTTTGTTGTTGAACCAAAGTGACCTGAAAAAATATGCCCCAAAAAACCACCCCCAAAAACCCAACAAATATGGTTTGTAAACACAAGCATCAATAGACAGACTGGTATTGAAAAGATAGTCTCCGCAAAATGGAAAAAAAAAAAGGGAATTTGCTCCCACTTTCTTACCAAAATTTTATACAAAATCATAAGGGGCATTAAGAATTTGGTAATGTTGAGGATAGCTTACATCTTATTCTTTGTATCTTTATCTTGCCACAGATTATTTTATACAATTTAATTTGCATATTAAATATCTCTTCCTCCCTCCCCACCCCAACCCCCACCCCCAGCCCATAGTGATTTTTCATTTTTGGACTGACTTAAAAAAACATTTAAGTTGATTGTTTTCCAAGATTTGATTTCCCAGGCCTCTTCTTGACCCCTGAGGGATTCTGACCTCACAAATTCATTTGCCTACAGGCATGTGTACATTTCATGTCTGTTCAACCAATACTAGTTCCTGTTTATGATGAGGCTTCTTTTAAAACACTTGGGAGCCACAGAATACACGATTAACACACTCATGTTAGCAAAGAGAAAACATACAAGAGGTTTCACTCTTAGATCTCCACAAGGATGACAGAATTCATTTGTAGTTCATCCAAGTTGTGCCACAGAGGAGAAGGGGAGGGTGCACCAGAGAGCCGGCACTGCAAACAGCCCTGCCTGTACATGGCATGGTAAAGATGCATTCTCTATGGCTTTGTGCTGTTGGTCCACTTAGAGACAGAGTGCAAACAAAATTAGAAAAAAAACCCACAACAACACAAAGGTGGGGGAGGGAGAAAAGAAAAACCTTGTTGCAGGAGGTGTGTAAACTTTTACATAATGTCCCCAGTAAAAAGAAAAGTAGGAGCCATTGGAAAATGTTCTTTAAAAAATGCACAGTTAAAAACAATAGACCTGAAGGCCTTCCAATGAGAGGAAGTCTTTGAAGCCACAACTAACATCACTTCACCTCAATTTTTTTTTCTAGCCAATACTGGTGCAAGAAAAACATTTCAGTTCAACCTAATGATTCACTATTATGTCACTCCTACCAGGAAAAGGCAAAAGCAAAGCTTTCTTGCCTTCCCCAGACTAAATGACAGACTTTAAAAAAAAGTATATATGTTTCCCTTAAAACATACTTCAAAAAATGCAGAGGAAACAGTAAAATTTTAAAACAAAAATAAAAAGTGCTCTCAGGGGCTCTGAGAAAACAGCACCAAATATATTATTTAAAAAAATTAAATATTATTTACAAAAGTATATTTCACAAGAGAATGTTTTTTTTTCTTCTATGTATATATTACCCTTTGAAAATTTGCTGAAAGGGGCATTCTTCCTTTGTGCACGCTGATCCTACCAGCACAGACTGACCTTGCCATGTCTAAGTATGGATGTAGTACCCTGATGGACACCTGTGTTCATCAAGCTGGGCTGCAGCTGCTTTGCTCCAACCAAGTCAAGCTACTGGCATGCAGCTTTGAGGCTGGTGCCAGGGGCAGCCCACAGAGCCTACAGGCCCCAGCACACAGGGTCTCAGCTCAATCCAAAGGTGGAGCCATAGTGAGCTGAAACTGGAGATTCTGCTAACGGTTTTTCAGTCCCAAATGAAGGCAGCTGCTGGCTGAGGTAAAGAACTCCCCCCCTTCCCTTCCTTCCTCTCTCCTCCCACCCTCCGAGCCATGCCCACACCAGCTCCCAGTTGGCTGAACCTACCAGTGGCCTAGGGATGAGGTCTTTGGTTATGCTCTGAGTAGATAATTTTAAGAGGAAAAAAAAAATCAAATAGAGAAAGAACTAATTGAGTCCACAAGTTTGATAAGGTCTGAGCTCTCGTTTGTGGTCTCCAATACTGCTAGACATGAAACAAGCCGTGGATGAAGCTAAAGTTGTAAGAAGCACTTATGGTTTAGTCAACGTGTACGGAAACCTAATGAAGGGGGTTGGTCAGTCTGCTGCTGAGTCTTTTCTTCAGATTGCTGGTGCCACGCACCTTTGGGATACTGCAGAAGGGTTACTCACAGCACCAGGAGGAGGCTCCATTCACAGTGCGAGCACTGGAAACTTTCCCAGGGCAAAAAGTGGGGATGGGGCCAGGGTCTGATCTTGTCTGCAAACTCATCATGCATCCTACCATGTCAAATCTGCCAAATTTCCACTTCATTTTAAGCTCTAAAAACCAGGTGAAACTTTCCTTAAGGAGAAGGCCAAATCTATAAAGGAAAGGGCCCAGGGCCCATACTTCAGTAGGGAGGGAGTAGGAATCCAGCTATTTCAGGGCTGGGAAGCTAGCCTGGGAATGTGAAAACTTAAGCTATTTTCTGATGCAATCTAGGGGATTAGGGGAAGCAGAAAGAATATTCCTCCAGGAGGCTGCAACAGAGTAATCTAACTATGCCTCAGTTTCCCTTCTTACTCATCTTCCAGAGTGTTTTGAGAACTGACTGGCCAAATGACTTTGCAGTGGGTTTTTTTCCTCCCTATTGTTAGGTTTTTTTGGTTGGTTTGGTTTTTTTTAAACAGAACCAAAAACTAGGTTTTGTAAGGGAAAAGTCCTTTACCAGCCAATCAACAGGCAGAAAAGTACTGTTTTGTGGGAGCTTCCAAGCCAGAACCACCTGGACTCAGAATTTTTCTTGCTACCTGACAGTAATTCAGAGATTCCACCCCCTTCATAGCCCTCCCACAGCCACGTTCTCTTTCCATCACAGACTCCATCCCAGAGGGCTCCCTGGACCTGCTGCCTTCAGAGCCCACTCCAATGCCCAGGTTCCCCTATGCTCCTGAATTAATTACTTGTGACAACCGACACAAGTTTTTTCAGGTTCAATCTCCTTGGAAAATGAGATGCTGAGAATGATACACAAGATCATCAGAAAAATAAAGAGTATTTTAGGCCTGAGAAATGAAATGAACTCAGTTTGAGTGGGACTCACATCACACACCAGATACTGGCTGGACTGCTGTAGAACAGCTATCACAGTGTGAATGATTAAATGCGAGATAGAGCTTTTTCACTCCTGAGCCTAGCTGGCTTGGGTTTTCCCCTCCAACTCCGCCTAATACCATGAAGTACGTCCCCTCTTCTTTCTACCCTCCAAAAAAGAAAAGGTTAAGATCAGAATTTGTTACTACTAGTTTGACATCAAATTGAATTAGTCCCCACTGCTGGGCCACTTTGGTTAATGACTGCGCTTCTTCCCCATTCAAATTCAGGGAAATAACACTGGGGCTTGAAATATCCGCCTGCAGAACACATTAACCATAATCTCCGAAAGCTTTTCTCTTCCATAGCTTAAAAGATGGGGCTGGAATCAAAGCCAATCAAACTCTGGATGTGAATCATCCCTGTTCCTGGGAAGCAGGTTCCCAGGGGAAGTAGGGAGGAGGTCTCGATACCTAGAAATGTCTTTCCCCCTCCCATCCCCTAAAATCCCCCCTTTCCAACTCCCATCCATTGTGCTCAGTTAAGAGACATGAGTCAGGTGATGGGTCAGGCAGTTAGAGTTGTTTTAACTATGCTGGCTTTCCTATGGTTTCCTTGCTGATATTAGAGCTGTCAGCTTGCTGTACCTGCAACTACAGGACTTACTAGGTCGCAGGTCAAGGCCGCTGGCCTCTTTACTTGCCAGGGAGCACAGGATCTTGAATACTTGGTGAAGGGCAGATCTCTACTTGCCATGATGGGGAAGCATTAGTAAGAACTTGGAGTAGGAGTGGGTATAGCATAGGTAGATAGTTAGAGAACAAATTATAGAGACCCTCTCACAAGCTCCCCACAGCCACTGACTGTTGCTAACATAAGGTGCCCCCAAACCAGCCCAGGGCAATCAGACTCCTGCCCCTGAAACTGCATGAACCACAGGAGTTAAGCCCTCCTCTCATGCTGACCTGGCACGTCATTGGGTGTCAGGAACAGAAGCTTCAAAGAGAATTCAATCATGAGGTATTTTTTTTTAAATCTTCTTTTTGTCCATTTGGACAAATTGATAGTTTCAAGGTTCCTAGGTTCCCAGGATTTTTAAGGAGCAGCAGTTCCTACCTCCACCCTCCCATGCCCACCCCTGCCCCAGGACACACAGGGCTCCCTTCCCTTCTCACGCCCCCATTGCTATCCTGACACAAGGCAGCTAAGGCTGCCTGCTCTGGGGGAGGGGGGTCCCTGGGACTCTCCTTAAAGTAGAATGCTGCCAAGTTCTCGGTGCATCCGTTGTTTTTAGCCAACACTAGAACAGAGAGAGAAGCCAGGGTCAACTCACAAACAGATACAAAGCAAAGAAACAGAGAGACAGCAATTTAGAGGCCAGTCACCAATAAAGATGGAGATAGGGTGGGAGGATGCTCCTGATGCCAAAGCCTCTAAAGGGATGGAACCAAGCTTTCAGTCACTCTCTCCCCTCCTGGATATAAGGTTCAGTTGGATGGCATTCATTCAGACACTGGGTAGGGGGGACTCCCTCCATTCAATCCCAGCCATTGTCCTTGATCATGTGTGCCAGTTCAATGATGTATTTGCCTTCTTTATACTTCTGGCTGCTCTCAAAGGCATGTTCCTGGTCAACAGAAAAAGAGAAAGGAGATGAGCGGCCATGTCCGTGGAAAAAGCGTATTGGTTTTGGAGCATACGTAGCAGGAGGAAGAGAAAGAGCATAGTGTGGTGACAGAGCGTTCAACCAGTGTCAGAAGACCTGGGTTCAAATCCAGGCTGTTCCACTCTGAACCTCTGTGGACTTCAGCTTCCTCATCTATAAAAAGCAAGAGCATTACCAAGTAGGTATCCATCGCCTGAGGCATGGAAATTGTTATTTATGAATGTAACAGGATATTACTGTCCCCTAAGAAACAACGAATATGGAGACTACTTGCGAAGCATGGGAAGATTTGTATGAACTGATACAACATCAGGAAAACACACACGATGTATACGATGGTATAAACGGAAAATGACAATTTCTTAAAAAATCAAGCACTGTGTAATTGTAATGATCAAGCTTGGCCCTGAAGAAAAGCTCTAAGAATGTACCCCCCCCCTTTGCAGAAGCTGGGGATATCAGGTGTGGAACACTGCAGTTACTTATTGTGGGATTCAACTGGTCTGTTGGTTGGTTTGGATGAACTGCTCCCCCCCCCCCCCGTTTATATTCTCTGTTATAAGGGATGACTTTCTGGGTGGAGGAGGGAGGCAGGAGGAATATATTGGAAAATAAAAATTGATGTAAAAGCAAAAAACAAGATGAGGTAGGAGAGGGACCAGGATCGTGATTCCATTGCTATACAGAACATCCAGGTGAGGAAACTCCCTCCAACAGTATAGAATGGCACATCCTCTGGAAGGTAGTCTTCTGGTTTGCTTAAAGCAGTGAGAGGTTAACTTGTCTAGGGTCCTAAAGCTAGTGTGTTTTAGAAGTAGCACTTGAGCAAACATCTGCCTCATTGTGTACCTATATGCCACGTTGTCTGTTAAAATAAGAAGGTTGGAATAAATGACTACTAAAGGTCCCTTCTAGACCTAACCTATGATCTTAGCAACTATAATACAAGATGGAAACTAGGATTTGGGGGTTGTCTTCCCAGGACAACCAAAGGAATTGAGATAACTTCAATCAATTAGCATTTTATCTTGTAAGGGTGCACAGTACAGTGGCAAGAGCCCTGGGCCTGAACTCAAATTCAGCCTCAGACACTTACTAGCTCTGTGACCCTGGGCAAGTCATTTAACCTTGCTGTCCTCAGTTTCCTCATCTGTAAAATGAGCTAGAGAAGGAAATGACAAAACACTCCAATATCTTTGCCAAGAAAACCCCAAATGGGGTCAACAAAGAGTAAGACCATGACTGAAACAACACAACAAATTCTTCATTAACTCACCACAGAATGAAGACTGTGCCTAAACTTTATTATCATCATACTCATTATTACAGGGAAAGGGAAGGGGATAAGCATTTATATAGCACCTACCCTGTGCCAGGCACTGCTGCTTAGCAGTTTTACAAAATTATCTCATTTGATTCTCACAAAAACCCTAGGAGGCAGGTGCTATTATGACCTCCATCTTACAGATGAGGAAAAGAAGGCAGACAGAGGTTAAGTGACTTGCTCAGAATCATAGAGCTAGTAAGTACCTGAGGCTAGATTTGAACTCAAGTCTTCCTGACCTCACTGTACCACCACAAGGACATTAATATATCAAGGACCTATGATTGTGTTGTGTGAGAACTTCAGATTGCAATCAATCACTTACACATGAATTTAGAGATGGAAGAACTTAAGAAACTAATACAGTACATGACTTTTATTTTTGAGATGAGGAAACTGAGACCAGAAGAGTGACTTGCTGACGTCATAAAACTAGTAAGCAACAGAGCCAGGATTTGAGCCCAAGTCCTCTGACTCTTTTTTATTGCACATGATTTTTAAGAATTCCCTGAAGTTCAGAAAAGTTAAGGAATTTGTCCATGAATGTCAAAGAGAGGATCTGAACCCAGGCCTTCCTGATTCCAGCACTCTATCCACCATTCAACAATTCCTATCAAAAGAAGGTCTTCAATGTGCGATGACTAACTTTGACAGACTTATCTCCTCTCGGCAATTCAAGAATCCAAGACAACTCCAAAGGACTCATGATGGAAAATGCTGTCCACATCCAGAAAAAAACTATGGAGTCTGAATGAACATTACCTGATCTTTTTTTGTTCGTTTCTTCTTTCTTATGGTTTCTCCCATTGGTTCTAATTCTTCCTTACAATGTGACTAATGTGCAAATAGGTTCAATATCAATGTATATGTAGAGCCTAATTAAATTGCATGCCATCTTGGGGTGGGGGGGAGGGGACAGATGGGGGGAGAATCTGGAAATCAAAATCTTATGGAAGTGAATGTTGAAAACTAAAAATTAATTAATTAATTTTTTTTTTAAAGAAGAAAGATTATGAAACAAACAAACAAAAAAAGAACATCTTTAAAATGCTATGTTATCTTAGGGGAACCTCTAGCTTGTTAAATTACACAGGATTCTTCCCTAACAAGGCCGTCCATGTCATCCTCACCATCTTCCCAGCATAGTAAGGTTGGAATCTTTCTGAAATGTGCTGTGACACTCTGAACAGAGAAGCAAAGCATTGTGGAGACCAAAAAGGCTTCCTTTTTTACTTCACTTATATATTTATATCCTGTTATTCTGCTTCTTCTCCACAGAAATCTCGGGCTGCAGCAATATATGCAGTGGGAGAAAACTTTTGCCAAGTAATATTAGTTATCAGGTGTCTTAGAGGAAAATTCCATACTTCTGGTGGGTTACCCTCTGAAATTAAAGCATTCTAGCTGATAAATCTCATTTAAAAAGCCCTACAATGGGGTAGGGAGTGGGGAGAGAAGAGAAGTGACAGGAGAGGAGAGGGCAATTTTACTATCATGGATATAAGAACAACTGGAGCAGCAGCCTGACATAATGGATAGGAAACCATCCTCAGATTCCAGAAGAACTGGATTTAAGACCTCTCTCTCTGAGATATACTGGCTAAGCAAGGCTGGGGCAAGTCACTTAACTAACTTCTCAATGTCCCTAAATGCCTCTCTAGGACTGTAAGAGCAGGTACCAATCTATAAGAGGAAGAAGTGGCCTTTACCAATGAAATCACAAGTTTCTTTCTCTCTCTCTCTCTCTCTCTCTCTCTCTCTCTCTCTCTCTCTCTCTCTCTCTCTCTCTCTCTCTCTCTCTCTCTCTCTCCCCCCCCCCCCCCTCTCTTTCTTTCTCTTGGCTAGCTGAATGAAGAAAAAAACTAGTCCCAATAGTTACTGAGTATGACTAAAAACATGTGCTGAAGGCAGATTTCAGAAAAACCTGGAAAGACTTACATGAACTGATGCTGAGTGAAGTGAGCAGAACCAGAAGAACATTGTACACAGTTACAGCAACACTGTGAGATGATCAACTTTAATAGACTTAGCTCTTCTCAGCAATGCAATGATCTAAGACTATTCTAAATGACTCATGATAGAAAATGTTATCCACATCCAGAGAAAGAATTATGGAGTCTGAATACAGATTGAAGCATACTATTTTCTCTTTTTTCTCGTGGTTTTTCCCTTTTGTTCTGATTCTTCTTTCACAACATGACTAATGTGGAAATATGTCTAATATGATTGTACATGTATAGCCTATATCAGATTATTTGCCATCTTGGGGTGGGGCAGGGAGGGAAGGGAGGAAGAAAAAAAATTCAGAACTCAAAATCTTATAAAAGTGAATGTTGAAAACTAAAAAAATAAAATAAAATAAAGTAAAAACCTGTGCTCAGATGCTACATCCATGGACATACCCTCCTAATTATATCCAAAATCAAGAAGGGAAGGTCCTGTTCTTGCTGGCATCAAGTGCTGCTGGTTGGCACTCAGCTCCAGTGCCACCTTCGACATGAGTACTTTCCATATGCTCTAAGTACCTCTCTCCTCCAAATACTTTGTATATGCTTACTGACGTGTGTGTTGTCTCCCCCATTAGAATGTAAGTTCCTTGAAGGCAAAGCAGTGTTTCGTTCTTTTTTGTGTGTGTTTCCAGGTCCTAGCACTGGTGACTGGCACTTAATAAACGACTTGTGTGAAATTTCCTTTGCCTTGCAGTTAGGTGAGACTATAGCTCAGGTGTCTTTTGATTTCAGAACAATTAAAGTCTCACCATACTGTGTGACCTCTGGGCAAGTCACCTTTCTGCTGAGGGGTTATTAGGACTAACTGACCTCTTAAGTCCCTTCCAGTTTCCAATCTATGATCCTGTTGGGTCTTTGACCTACTGCTTTGAGGGTTAAATCATCCCACAGACACAGACAGAGACAGAGGCAGAAAGTTTAAGTACTAACAACTCCACACTTATTTCCCTTTCTCCTATACCTCTGGGTTTAGGTACTGGTATATTTGTGCGTGGATGTGGGTGTGGGACAGATTTTAGAATGGGGGAAGATGAAAGCACATAGAATACCAGGAGATTCAAGAAATAAGCAAGACAGCTTTGAAACTAACACTTAGGTTTGGGGAATTCAGGAATGATAACTAACTTGCTGGATTTGCTATATTCTTTCAAAAATAACGCAAGTACCACTTAAGAGGTTCATTGTTTTATGTACAGTGCTCATATTTGATAATGTTCATCAGGAAAAGAATATTTTTTAAAAAACAGAACGGGATATTTATAGCCATTTTTTTTGTGTCTGGTGGCCAGGCATTGGAAATTGAGGGGATGCCACATCAATTGGGAAATGGCTGAATAAGTTGTGGTACATGAATGTAATGGAATATTATTGTTCTATAAGAAATGATGAGCAGGCTGATTTCAGAAAAATCTGGAAAGACTTACATGAACTGATGCTGAGTGAAGTGAGCAGAACCAGGAGAACATTTTGTACACAGTAACAGCAACACTGTGCGATGACCAACTTTGACAGACTTAGCTCTTCTCAGCAATACAGGGATCTAAGTGAAAATTCCAAAAGACTCATGGAGGAAAATGCTATCCACATCCAGAGAAGGAACTATGGAGTCTGAATGCAGATCGAAGCATACTATTTTCTATTTTTTTTTTGTTTTTTTCTTTCTCCTGGTTTTCCCCTTTTGTTCTGATTCTTCTTTTATAACATGACTAGTGTGGAAACATGTTTAATATGATTATACACATATAGCCTGTATCAGATTGCATGCCGTCTTGGGAAGAGAAGGGAAAAACATTTGGAACTCAAAATCTTATAAAAGTGAATGTTAAAAATTATCTTTACATGTAACTGGAAAAAAAATAAAATACTATTAAGAAAAATAAAATTTAAAAAAGTAGAATAGTAAAGGGTGGAGAACAAGATACCACTTCAAGTATTTGCAGGGTAGGGAATGTGAGAGCAGGGATGGTGGGTAAAAACACTTATGAAGATTTATCACCTGCTCCTTCCAAAACTGAGACATACAAAGTAACCAACACCACACAGCCACCTGGACACCTCTAGAAAGTGTCCAAACTCAGCCACCATGGTGAGAAAATGAGAGTCAACTCAGGGAGCCACAGAAATGAGAGGGATAGAGAAATCATGGACAAAGGAAATGGATAAATAACCCAAAATGCCTACTCTGGCTTTTAATTCCAAACTTCTCTTCAGAAAACTCTTTCTGAGAATCACAAGCCAAAATGGACTGATTTAGAATCCTGCCTCTTCTCTTTCATCCAGTGCTCCTTTTCAAACCGATGGGCAGCCAGCTGATCAACAGAAGGGGGTGGAGGAAAGAAGAAGGAGAAAAACCTACAGGGTGATCAGCTTAGGCCAGATGACCTCTGAGTTCCCCCTTCTAGCTCTGGAAGGATGTGGCTCTGTAAAAAGGGACCTGAACTTGGGACGTTCAGTCCTTGAGGAGGTTTGACTGAAATACTAGGGAAGAAGCAGAGCCATTCAGTCTGACCAGGTTGATGATGTCTGCTCTCAGACTAACCTCAAAATATAAGGGGGCCCAAGTAAATGGAAACAAAATTCTGATACTCGGGGCAGCTAGCTAGTGCAGTGGGTAGAGCACCGGCCCTGAAGTCAGGAGGACCCAAGTTCAAATCCGGCCTCAGACCAAACACTTGACACTTACTAGCTGTGGACCCTAGGCAAGTCACTTAACCCCACTGCCCAGCAAAAAAAAAAATACTCCAAATATTTTCAAGGCTAATGTGGGGGAGGGAAGGAATGAAATCTGGTTTCCAAGACCTCCTCTCCTCCTGCAAAGATCCTTGTTGCTAGGCCCACCCGTGGAAGAATATTGCTCCTGTTCCTGCTTAGAGAGGTTCCTCCTTGGAGAGATAATGTGGTACAATGGAAAATGCATTGGCTCAGGAGTCGGAGGAGCTGGGTTCAAATCTCAGCTCTGGCTTGAACTACCTACATGACTTCAGGAAAATTCTTAGGGCCTGCTCCACCTTCCTGGGGCACAGTGGATAGAGTGCTGAGTCTGGAGTCAGGAAAACCTGAGTTCAAATTTGGCCTCAGACACGTATTAGCTGTGTGACCCTAGGCAAGTTACTTAACCCGGCTTGCCTCAGTTTCCCCATTTGTAAAATGAGTTGGAGAAGGAAATGGCAAATCACTTCAGCATCCTTGCCAAGAAAACCCCAAATGGGGTCACAGAGAGTCAGACACAGAACAACAATACTGAATACTGAACAATAGCAACAACAGGCTTTCCTGGGTCTTAGTTTCTTCATCTGGGCAATGGGGTGGGGAGTTGGCCTAGCTAGCCTTCAGGTCCCTTCCAATTCTAGTTCTATGATCCTTTTAGAATCCAAAGTAGATTATGTGGGCTGGTAAGGACAAAAGAAGAGTGCAACTGATACACTAGCTGTCCTTTCCTAAAAGATACACTGTCCTTTGGAAGACAGGGAGGTTGTTCTTTTTTGTATACTACAGTTCAAGTACTCCAGCATGTCAGAGGGCTGACTGAGAGGATATATGCTGTGTGTATGTATAGCAAGTTCATATGTGCGTACGTGTGTGCATGCATGAAACACAGTATGAAAAGGAAAAAAATTCAACCAATGGATAGTGTTACCATGGCAACTGCATCTGGGGTTAGATTACTACCACAAAGCAAGCCAGAAAAATCCTCATGACACCAGGCAACCAGAGTTCCAGGGATACTAGGTCACTGTTGCTCGCTCATCCTACCCCCAGGAAAGGACAAGGAATCCCCCAGGAAAATAACAATTTACCCCACAGGGCCTCCATACGAAGGTGGGGAGAAGGCAGGGTCTGATCTCAAGACTCAGTCTTCTGATCGATCTCAGTGTTGGCTCAGACTACCACAAAGGGCAAATACAGAAGAGGGACTACTGGTCCTACTATCTCTTATTTGACAAAGAACAAGCTGGAAAATAGAGAAGAGGAATAAGGATAGGGAAGGACCTTAGGTCCACGTCCTGTGAGGGTCTATTAAGAGAAGTGAGCACATTTAGCCTAGAAAAGACTTGGGGGAAGGGGGAAGAGAACATGGAACATGAGAGTATTTGGAGTATTTGAAGGACCATCATATGGATCAGATTGGATTTGATCTGTTTGACCCTAGAGGGTAGAATTGGAAGTGACAAAAAGCCAAGTTTAGACTTCCTGTCAGGAAAAACCTCCTAATGATTAGGGCAATCTCAAAGTGCAATGAATTATCTTAAGACCAGCTCTTCCTCCTTGGGGGCTTGATGGGCTAGGCTTTTTTTTAAGTGGCACTAGAGTGAGAATCCCATTTGCTGATGTGAGTCAGACTAGATAACCACAGAGGTCCCCTCCCTGCTGTGATTCAAATATTGTGATTCTGCTGCCCCTTCAGAGAAGCCATGGAGTATAGTAGAAAACCACCAGCCTTGCAATTCAAAAACCTAGATTTTTGAGTGCTGAGTCTTTTTGAGTCTTATACTTATACTTATATAATATATATACATATATATATAATATACTTATAAATCAATTATATTTTGAGTCTTCTGCTTACTGTATGACCTTGAGTAAGTCATCTCTCTCTCATCTTGTGCAACACTTGCACCATTTACCTATTGGGCTCAAGAGTCAGGAGACTGACTCTTCTGACTGACATTAACTAGCTGAATGACCATGGGAAAGTCATATAACCTCACTGAACTTCAATTACCTTATCTATGGAATGGGGACAGCACCCAGCCCACAGAGTTCTTTGTGAGCAGAAAATGGGGCTCAAATGCACGTTCTGAAAATCTTACAAGTACCACATGACTATCAGTCTTTCTTCTAAAGCATTCTGTAGTCCTAGTGAGGTCTGCACGCAGTTATCATTAGTGTTTATTTCAGAAGCCATGGCCCCACCCCCACTGGGCAAACACCATCATACTTACATATTTCCAGCCCAGAGTGGTTTTGCAGTTTTCACAGTAGATGTCTGCAACTGCGTGTAGCCCCGTTAGCAACACTCGCTCTTCTGCAGGTCCACAGCCCACATTAACTCTGTGCCAAAGAGGTGGGGGTTGGGGGAGAGAGAAAAGAGGGAGATGAGTGCCAGGGACATCTGTATCCTCAGTCCCTTGAGCTGAGCTACCTGCAAAAATGAATAGAACAAGAACTCCCTAAAAGCAGCTGCTCCCGGGGAAGCGGTGGAGGATGGGGGTGGGGAAGAATGACTCAGGATCAAGAGCAAAGCCCCAAAGACAGGCAAAAGGAAAGTCCTGGGCCAAAGTGATTTCAGATTGTTCCATTCTGGTCCAGTGTACCTGCTGGAGACAATGGGCTTTCTGGCTAAAACCTGGCTTGCTGTTTATGTCCTTTTTCTTTTACATAGGAAAGCCTTCCTTTGCTAGTCACTTCTCTTTCAAGCCCAAATTCAAACCCAACTCAATTTATGAATGTAATGGGTATTGGGAAAGAACACTTTGTAGACCAGAGAGTCTTAGCATCATGGGAGCATAGATTTAGAGCTGGGAGGGCCCTTAGAGGTCCATCTAGTCTAGAACCCTCGATTTTCAAGATGAAGAAATTGAAGCCCAAAAGAATAAGGTGACTGGCCCAAGGTTACATTGGCAGCAGATGACAGGCAGGATTTGAACCCAGGTCTTATGACACCAGACCCAACACTCTTTCCATTGTAAGTCCCATAATTAATTTTACAATCTTTGAAAACCATTCTTAAGCATCAAATCCACTTATTTTTACAAACTATAAGTAAATATAAATAATAAACTTACTATGTAATTAAATATTACTTAACGATAAAACCATTCAATTTACAGTTGTCATTATTTAATTCTTTTTTTTTTAAATGACCCCCTCCACGGAGAGGACCCTTCCAGCAGTACTGAACCAAGTTTATATCCAATGGAAGGTGATCATATACATATGTAGGGTCAGTGAACACCTCCCACATGGGTCCATATGTACTAGGTCTTATCCCAACACTTTTCAGTCACTCGGGACTTTCTTCTCCAGGGAAACTGTGGTACGTGCCTTTGCACTTGGGGTGGGGTGAGGGAGTAGGGGTGGGGTTAGAGCTGTTCTATTAACCTGGTCTACTCTGAGTCTAATTGTCCTGCTGAGTGGGTTGGACTTGGCTCAGCCCTGATTGGGTTCCTTCTTTTCTGCCTGTTCCACTGGGCCTCAGCTTCCTTACTTTTAAAATGAGTGATTTGGAATAGAATAGGGTTTCTTAACCTAGGATCCACTGGGGGTCTGTGGATAGAATTTAAAGGATCCACAAACTTGGAAGAGAACTACTTTTTTCCAATATAACTGATTTCCTTATGTAATATAAAACAAAGGAAATCAATTATATATGCACACATATATATTCATATGTATGAACTTTATTTAAAAACATTATTCTGAGAAGGGGGTCCATAGGCTCCATTCCTGGAGAGAACTCTACGGTCCCTTCACACGTTGACATTCTAGACTTCTATAAATCCTGAGATTCATTGGGTTTGGTTATAAAACTTCTAGCCTGAGGAGATTGGGGAAGTACCTCTGGGGGAGAGATGTGTGGGTAGGGGAGAGGCAAGGATCTCAAAAAATATTTCACCAGCCTGCAGCTCTAAGGGATATATGTGTGTTGTGACAGAAAAAGAGAGGGAGAGAGAGAAGGGGAAGACATGGACAGATGACATTTTAATTTGGAAGCTATTTCTCTAAGTCTCTCTAGTCCCTCCCACCACCCTCTCCAAAAATAGAAAAACAAATATCCCTGAGGTGACCATCAGAAGCAAACCAGGGAACATAATCCTCCATGGACTGTATTTTTTAATTTATGTCCTAGGCAGTGTCTCATCAGAACAGGAGGCAGCTCCTACTGTTTAATTATCCTCCAGGGTTGCTTTTTCCATCTTCCAAAGATGCAAAGAACAATTTAATACCACTTCCAAAAGAGACACTCACACTGAATTAAAGAGGTAAGCTCGTCCTTGACTTCCTTGGAACGACTGAAATGCAAGAAAACAAATCAATAGTTAGATACAAATGGCATGTGTCCACCTGCTTGGGAGACCTGGGCCTAGCTAGATAACAACCACCCAAATGACTCCAGCAGGCTGAGGTTCTGTCTGCAGGATAATACAAAGCACAGAGCCAGAGGCAGTCTGGAGAGAGGAGCTAGGCCAGCCGGCATTGTAGGCTGCTTCCGAGTTCCTGTTTGATGAGATGGTAGGTAAAAGAAAAATAGTCATTACTAGAGAGTCTTTGCCCATGTGTATGTGGCTAAGGCTACCTGGGACAGTCTATACCAGCTCTTCTCTAAGCCTTGGTTTTTGGTTTGGTTTTGTTTTGGGGTATTTTTGGGGGGAGGGAAGCCAGTTGGACAGTCTGTGCTGGCAGCTCCACCACTTCCTATGGCCATAGAGGGTGTGACAACCAGCTAAGGCAGTTTCACTTCCTGGTTCTCAAACATCACCAGGAGGGAACCCGCTTGAGGCCCAGGGCTGCAGAAGAAGGGTCAAGGTTTCAGAACAGAGTACAAACCACCCAAACCACCTTGTCTTACTTGCTTCCTCCCCCCTCAGCCCACACTGTATGTGAACACATGTGGAGCTGCAAGCCCTCTCCTGACCTCTCCATCGGTGAACAGCTCATTAAACTGGTCCTGTTTCCAAGCTTACACAGGAGTGCCTTTTTTCTTAGAGCCTGAGGCTGTGGGGAATGGGAGAAGCAGGAACTAGAGCGCAGGGTATCTCCCTCTGTGAACACAGGCCCCATTCGTGTCTCCCTGGCTCCGGTTACACTGGGATGTCTTGCTGACATGAGACTGCTAACGTTCCGCATTGCTGCCTGCATTTTTAATGGTTTCTGACAACCATCCCTTGAATTAAACATCCTGTGCTGCTAGGGGGTGTTGGTGGGGTGAGGCTGGTGAGAGGAGAATGAAAACGCCCCTGGGCTTCAAGTCCTAGCTACCGATCAATCAACCATCATTCAACTGTCTTCCAGGTGCCAGGCATGGTGCAAGGTGCTGGGGATACAAAAGAAAAAAAGAAACAGTGGCTGCCCTCAAAGAGCTTATAATCAGTCAATCAAGGGAGAATTCACCGAATGCACTTGGGTATATAGGCACAAACCATATACAAGATAAAACCATAAAGACGAGATTGCCTTAGGGAAGAAAGCAGTAGAAACTGGGGAAAGAATCAGGAAAGATCTTGTCTAAGAGGGGAAGCTTGAACTGAGCTCTGAAGGAAACCAGGTGAACAAATTAATGAGCCATGAGCAAAAGACCAATAGGGAAATTCACTGGCCATAACCGATTCCCACCCTCAGATGCCAAGCCTAGAAGATCCAGGACCTGTCAACATCCCTTCTAGTCAAAATCTTGACTAGAGAAGAAAGGGGCAGCCAGGTGGCAAGAAGTGGGGTTGGAGTCAAGAAGACTCATCTTTGCCAAGAAAAACCCCAGACGGGGTCATGAAGAGTCGGGTATGACTTAAACAATTGATCAACAGCAAAGAGACAAGGAAATGAGTCCCCAGGCTCTGCCACTTATTATTGGCCAGGTAGCCTTGGGCAAGAATCATTATACCTAAGCTTGTAGCTTCAACTGTCACAAGGGGGTTATTTAAAAAAAGAAAAACAAAACAAAACAAAACCCAGCATGGAAGGGCCTTTGTAAGCTGTTACTTTGTAAGTTAAGTCCCCCGTAGATAAAGGATATTGTTATCATGAATCTTCAGCAGCCCAAACCACAGCCCTTATGCAAGGAATCATCCCGGTGCTTCTAAGGTAGGTGACCCATGATAGTATTCAATGGAATGTTCCACGAAGGCAGGAACAAACATTGTTGTCCTTGCATCATCTACCCCCCAACCCCTGCACAGCGCCAGACACATAGTAGATCTGTAATATTTCTTTTTTAATTGACTGAGATATAAATGTGAAACTGTAACTCTGTGTGTGTGTGTGTGTGTGCGCGTGCGTGTGCGTGTGCGTGTGCATTCTCACAGGCAAGTGCCCGCATGTGCTCCTTAAAATGAAGAAAACTTCCTCTTAGTGTCTTCATCTTGCCCTTTCCCTTAACTGGTCAGTGTGTGATAGCATCTGTAATTCAGCCAAACTGGCCTTCTCTCTGCTCCTCACACACAACCTCTATGTCCACCTCCCATCTCTCTGCCTTTGCAATGGCCATTTCCACATGCCTGGAATGTATTCTCTCTCTTTCTTCTACCTGATACCCCTCTCAAACATCACCTTCTCCATGAAGCTTTTCCTGATCCCCTTTCCTAATCCCCCCAAACTACCTTGTATTTAACTACTTGGAAATATTTGCATTTATTTACTTTCTATTTATACTAAATATATTTATGTGTCCTCGTTGTCTGATATCTTCCCGAGGAGGGATTTATTCATTCTTTGTATCCCCAGGGGCTAGCCAGAGGATAGGGATATAGTACGAGTTTAATAAATATTTGTTGAATGCTCATAGTGGGAGGTGGGACCACAATTAAGTGGGGCTTCCAAGGAAGAATAACTTTAGGAACCTAAACAGCTACTTGACATTGGTTAAGTCTCTGGGTTTTGAGCTCATCCCCCTTAAAATGGACAAGTTAGTCTATAAGGTCTCTTCTAACACTTTTAGTTCCATGGTCCCAGAGTCCTCTTGTCCAAGAAAGACCCATGGCCAAAGACACTTGACACTTACTAGCTGTGTGACCGTGGGCAAGTCACTTAACCACGATTTCCTCACCAAAAAAAAAAAAGAAAGAAAAAAAACCACCCACTATTAGACTTTTAGATCCATGGCTCACAGCATGTGAAAACTCATCCTAGAGGACAGAGAGGAAAAGGCAGCCACAAAGCAATTGGGGAGCCTAATATAGCTTTACCCAACCCTCATGGGGTAGGAAGACGTGGAGGGAGAGGTGTATATGGAAAAATGCTACAGGGCTGAGAAGTAGAAAGTTTTTTTGTTGTTTTTTTAAACTATTGCAGCCGGTAGAGACTAGGAAAGGCAGCGAAGTTGAAAAACTCCTTGTTTTACACCAACTTGTGCCACTTCTGAGCTCCATTTTGTAACACGAGATACATATCAATGTCTTGTTTTTGCCGACTAATATGAACTACCAGTGTTCCTGCCTTTAAAGAGGCCTACATTCATTCTAGTCTGGATCATCTTTGTATCTACCAGTGTACATACACCACTGGGGGCCCACTACCACCCAATGTTTGGCACACAGTAGGAACTCAGTACATATTTGTTGAAATTAACTGAATCAGAGCGTGGACAGATTAATTGGTGGCAGAATAAAGAAGGAAAACCCAAAATGGTCAGGGTCCAGGTCAGTTTGGAAGAGTTACATTTGAACACCTGGTTCCCCATTCTCCCAAGGTCTGGCTGATAGAGCCAGATGTCGAGCACAGGTTGGTTCAGAGCCTGACAGTCTTGGCCAGCATCCAGGTCAAACTCCTTGAGGTGGCTTTGAGATCCCAAGGAACAGGCATGCCGGTCAGAACTGGTTCGCCTCAGGCATACTGGGGAATGAGAAGAAACATTCTAGAGACTTTCTTGTGCTGAGGGCCTCTGAAGTATAGGGGTGATTAGGAGCCAGCTAGGGCCTAGAGTTGAAATCAGTTCAGGTTTATTATGAAATAAAATTCCCAAGTCTTTTCTGATTCTTAGAAGGCTTCTGAGTCACCCCAGGTTAGGAAGAGGAGGCAACTGGAATGAAGAATTCCAAGAAAGGCCCCTTATATTCTACAAGTCTAAGCTAAAGCATTCTGTTCTGATATAATATGGAAGCACTCCCTCAGATATCCACAGGAGATGAATTAGGGAGACTAGGGCAGTGCTTGTATTAATCTCTCATTCTCCTGCCTGACGTCAGAAGACAGATCACATTTTTGCAAGGCACGGCCTCTCTCACTCTTTGGCTTTCACCCCGGGGGGGGGGGTGTTTACCACTAAGTCAACATTTATGGAGGAAAAAGCAGCCCCAGAGAAGAATGGGGACCTTGCAAACAACATTGTCAGGAAGAAGCCAGGCTGGGTTCCCTTTCAGACAGGTCACTATGGGGGCTCCCCACAAAGCCTTCTCTTTGGGCCAGCCTCAAGCTGATGGTTAGGAGCCAGCAGAGGAAGTTAAGGAAGCAATTAGAGAGTTAAGCAAACAGAATTCCAGACCAGGAGACAGCTCCGACAGACTAGACTGTAGGCCCACTTGTTTGCTATCAATACTGCCAGGCTCCAAAGTGGCTCTTTTCCAGGTCCTAAAATGCCAACTGAGGCTGGCTTTCAGGCCTTCAGGAAAAGGGATTTTAATAACTCAAAATGTTATGCCCTTTAAAGTAATAGCTCCTGGCCCAGCCCTCCCAGTCCTCTAAAAAGAATGGAAAGGAAAAATGGTTTTCCTATTTGGTAGTCAAGCCACTTATTACTTATTTTTGGCCACTTGGAAAGCCTGAATCAGTAGCACCTCTCATTACCAGGGGCAGAGCCATTTTTAAAAAGAGGCCATGCTCAGGTTGAAAAGGGGCCTAGGAGCAAGCACATGCATATATTCCCTTCCAGATCTTGGACGCTCTGCCCAAGTTCCCACCCTTTACCCCAGTTCTGTTCTTGGAGGACGTGCTTATTCCAAAGGAGTCTCCATTTTCTACTCCCCATGCCACAAAATCCTGGATAGTTTTTATCCTAGTTGTGGGGACCATATTTCCTAAACCCCAAATTAGGGTACCTGGCCTACTGTGTGCCAGGGATTGCACTAAGGACAAAAGTGAATATATAGCCTCTGCCCTTAAGGAACCTACATTCTCTCAGGGGAGATATGTAAACATATAGCTGCATATAAAATAAATACACAGTAACTTTAATTACTAGTAGTAGTTTAGTTAACTACTACCAACTAAGTGACATAGTGGATAGAATACTGGGCCTGGAGTCAGGAAGACCTGAGTTCAAATCTGGCCTCAGACACTTACTAGCTGTGTGACCCTGTTTGCCTCAGTTTCCTCATCTGTAAAATAAGCGGGAGAAGGAAATGGCAAACCACTCCAGTATCTTTGCCACGAAAACCCCAAATGGGGCCATAAAGAGTCAGACACGACTGAAACAACTGAACAACAAAAATTTTAATGACTTCTGATAAATATCCCCTGATATTAAATATTCTATACTTCTGAGAGGTACACAGTGGGATTATTATGGAGTGTGTGTGTGTGTGTGTGAGATTTTGAGGGGGGAGGCCAGGGAAGGGTAACAAATCCAAGAGCAAGTACCTCTTAATTCTACACAGAAATGAGACCCAGACAAGGTAAGAAGTTGCCCATGGTCACATAGACAATTAAGTAAAAGAACCCAGGTCAGATTCCAAATGCAAGAAAGAATATCTCTACCCTTAAAAAACAACCACCACCACAAGTCTTTCCTTAAAATCGGGGCTGTCTTGGAAAATCTGAGACATCAAATAATCAAATATTTGTCAAGTGTCTACTTTGTGCCAGGAACCATGGTAGGCACTGCAGATGCAAAGATAAAAAATGGAATGTGGTCATGGTCATCCTGGGGCACGTCCAAACAGGCCCCAGGGCTCCTGGTCCACACCCAAAATTTCTCTTCCCCAGACTTCCAGACACAAAAAAAGCTGCCCGGAGTGTCCTTGCTGTCCCTGAAACTAGGAATAGCAACATTGGAAAGCAGGCAAAGTTTGTTTTCCTTAAATAAATTTCACTCTACAGACTTTTTTCTTTATTCTCTTCCACTTCCACCAACCTTTTCCCTTTTGATGGGCTCCTCTCTAGGTACCGCCTCCCTCCCTCAATCAATCAACAAGTATTTATTTAGGCAGACCATTTATGATTTACTTATTTATTTATTAGGCTAAGCTCAATGGATAGTACAAAAAATGAACCAACCCCTACTTTCAAAAGAGGAGTTCATATTCTAATAAAGCAATAATAATCTTTCTTTATACTCTAGGCAGCCAGGCCCACATGCTCTCTCCAACTTAAAACATGCTTTTGGGAAAAACTTGGTATAGTGGAAATTTGGAGATGAAAGATCTGAGGTTGAATCCCAGCTCTTTGTTACTTATCACCTTTATGGTCTTGGGGCAAGTCACTTGACTCTCTCTTGGCCTCGATTCTATCACCTGTAAAATGGGAGCCTTAAAGCTGGTTTCCTTCCAGTTCAGCTGTGATATGGTAGAAAGAACACAGATATGGAACTGAGTACCTGAATTCAAATCCTGCCTCTGAGGATACTTGCTTCTTTGACCTTGGACAAGTCACAAGTCTGTAAGCCTGTTTGTTCATCTGTAAAAAGAGTGCTGTTCTTGAAGGTCCTTTCCAACTCTAAATTCTATGATCTTATGAAAAAATCTAAGGTCAGTTGTATGCATCCTAATGTGAAGTCATTATATTCTTTTTTTCTGAGGATTATCTACATTTTTGAAGAATAGGTCTCTAATTCATAGCACTCATCCAACCTCTTCCAGAGACCACAGGAGAGGTTTGACAGGAAGAAAATCCAAAGAGCCACAGTAGAAATGCAAAATAGGCTTTGTAATGGCAAAAAGAGGTAAACCCAATACTGAAAACCAAGTCCTCTTAGGTGTAGGAAGGGGTAAGTGGGCCCGGCCTAGCCAGGATAAGATTTGGACCATGGAGATGAATTCTTTCATAGGAAAAAAGGGTTTATGGAAAACTAAAGAGGGAAGGAGCTTAGGTGGGATTGGTTTTGGTTTGTTTTAGAAAAGCAATTGCTTTAGCCCAGTAGAGGTAGAGGAAGC